GTGCTCCGCAATGGGAGAGGCCACAACAGTGAGAGGCCCGTGTACCGCAAAAAAATAAAAAAATAAAAAAATAAAAAAATAAAAAAATAAAAAAAAAAAAAGAATAACACATGAAAATTCAATTTTATTTTATTCTTAGTTAACATGAGCTTGCTTCAACTAGAAACTGGGAAGCCGCAACCTCTCTGGGTCTAATTTTTTAAAAAAGTGTGCTGAGCAGATGGCCTTCAAACAGATCTTCACGTGGGAAAAACATTTACACAAATGAGAGAACAGTCAAGAAATGGTATGAGAAAGTATTTGGGGGTAAAATCAAGTTTGACCCATAGCTCATGGCTAAATGTTAAATATTAGGGCAACTGAAATCTCTCTCCTGTCACACATATGCAACATGAAAAGAAAATGCACAAAGACAGATACAAATAGTTGTCTATGGCAAGTATAAATTTAACAGAAGAGGGAAAAAAACCCCTTAATTATATAAAATTTTAAAAACTTCTGCTGGTTAAAATTTATAAATAAAATACATCTAGAATAGATAATGAAAGAATATGTACCAAAATGTTACCAGTGGTTGTCTTTGGGGGTTGTTCTTTTGAATGGCCTATTTTCTTTTTTGTACTTTCTATACTTTTCACACATATAGACAGATTAGTTGTTTTAATAAAAATATAATTACATGGCACCTATTATGTACAACTCATTTTCACTTAGATATTACATATGTTCCTCAAGTTAGCATACAGTGAATTTAACTCCCCGCCCCTTTTAAATATATAATTATTTTACAAAAATGGATATATACCACAATGCTTTTTTAGTACTCTATTTTCCTATTTTGACTGTCTCCTATTTTGTCTTCCTCTCTCCTCTTCCTCACCCACATCCACCCACACATTTGACATTTAATCAAAAGCAATATGATATATAACCATCTACTCTTCTCTATGCTTACATGGCATGGTGACATATATATGTAGGGAGTTTCTGTTTACTATAAGAGTATTATACGTAATGCTCTGAATCTCTATTTTTTCATGCAACAACACTTTGTGAAAATCTTCCAGGTCAAATAGTAGACAATTAACTTTTTCCTTTTAATGAGTGCATTTTCCATGGCTTGCATGTTAAATGAACATATATGACAACTCCAACACACACACACACACACACACACACACACACACACACACACTTCACGTTTCCCCCACCCCTCAATAACTGTAAAACCTATTAGAACCACCATACGCAGACACACGTTAAATATGTATGCTGGTGCGTTTGCCTTTAGGCACTAATTTAACCACTCCTATAAAAAGCCACTCCAGAAACTTACTTTCAGTCCAAATGCTGTCCTATCTATGTTCCCCAATTGTCCAGGCATTTTAGTTCCAGGCCAGACTCTGGCAACATCCTAAAGGAGAGAAACAAAAGTAGCACTTTTAAGCAGTATTCTCAGTTTCAAACAGTACCAATCAAACCAAAATGCAAATAAGATATGTCATTAAAATGTTTTATTTTTTCCTCCATTTTGCTAGCCCCCAGTAAAGAACTAAACATGGATTTAGTCACATTTACCCCTAGAGAATTCCCTTTCTAAATTAGATTAGAACAAAAAAATATAGACTAAGAACATATCTAGGAGAAAAATTCAGTAACAAGAGAGCAGCAACTGAGCCAATAATGGCTGAGAAGGACATAAAAACATGTCACACCACCATTCAAAGCAAAAATGGACTGCCTGGCCTGTTTTCACAAATCTTCTGTATTAACTGACTTGGACTCCATCCAGTCCACAGCTGCTGGAATGGTCCTACTCTCCCACCCTGGCTTTTGATGTTACTATCCTTCTGCAGAGTGACTAAAGGAGAGAGTTAGTTACTACCAATAGTGAGAAACTTGGCTTCCATTATCAATATATTGACTTATCTGGTCAATCCTATAATTCACAGAAAATTATCTCAGAATGGCTAACTAATACTACTAAAAAAACTTAATTAGAACTCAACACTTGCACATAGTACATTTTAAATTTAGACTCCGGGTATACAGCCAACAACTATGTGTTCACAAGTTACTTGAGTTACTCTAGTCCCCCACTTTAGTGAGGTTCTGTTACTCATTTGAAATAGTTATGTTCATTTCCTAATTATATTCCATTATGGATTCCCCATTTTTATTTTACTTTGAATTTGTAAAACATTAACATGGTTCCAAAGTAAAAAGTATTAACAAAAAAATATATCTAGTTAAGTGCCACTCCTGCCACTCCTGAGCCCTTCCATACTCTTCCTACCCAAGAGTAAGAATCCCCCACGCTCTTTATGGTACACCTCTGGGAGAGATATTCAGTAGGACTAAATTAGCAGTACAAATCTCCTTCTCTCCTTCCTATGCTCTTACTGTCTATTTCTCCATTTTTTCTCTATTACTCTCCCCTTCATCATTATATTGTCCTTGACAACTTTTCCCAGTGGTCTCTTCTAAGGCAAAAACAAATCTGTGAAGGAACCAGTGAGGGAAGATGGCAGGGCATTCTGATCCCTGATCACTTACAGCTGACTTCAGAGTGTAGGATGGGAGACAGAGATGGGAAAGAAAGTAGGCAGACAAGTACTGAGAACACTGGCCGTAAGTAAGTAGGATATAACCAAATGATTCAAGTCTGGCTCTGGAAAGTAAGGCCAGGACTCATAAATGTGACTTTTATTAGGACCCACCTGGAGTAAGATTCAAATAATGTGACTTGATCCCAAGGACAGACTAAAGCACCATATACACAAAAGCTGAATCTTTAGTACTAAAAAGAGGATCACTAAGTTATACTTACACCAGTTGAAATAGCTCCAGGCCTTCTGTGGGTTTTTGTTTGACCATGAGTAGCTGGCTGGCCTTTAAATCCCCATCTTTTCATGACACCTTGGAAACCTTTACCAATACTGAACAAGATAAACATTAGAATTTACATAATGAACAGAGGATAAAATACCCCCAACTGTATACTTTTGATAGTACCTTAGAGTTTTTAGCTAAGTTCCTTATCCAAATAACTAGAAAAGGCCATACAAGCAAAACTACAAATGAACATGCCTTTATCTCTGTCCTGGTTTGTACCCCTCCTGGAGTCTTATTCTACATAAAATGATTAGTTCAAGATTGTGAGACAACAGAAAGCTAAGCAGTTCTATCATCCTAATCCTATGACACAACACAGTAAAAGTGGGGCATTTTATAAGTTCAAAGTACTTGTAAGCAATGCAGCAGGCCACCATTAAGACCCCCACCTCCTGTAAAGCAACTATACTCCAATAAAAATTAAAAAAAAAAAAAACCTGAAAAAACCCACCTCCTGGTACACATGCCCCTGTGTGATCAATCACTTCCCCTTGAGTCTGTGTGGACCTAGCAACTCACCTCTTAAGGAATAAACTACGGCAGAAGAGATGAGATGTCACCTCTGACTCTTGGTTACAAAGATACCGGCTTCCATCTCTGCACTCTCGGTTAAGGAAGCCAGCTATCCTATGGAGAGTTATGCAGCAAGGACCTCGCTAGCCAACAACTGTGGACCTGACGCTCACCAGTGGCCATGTTAATGAGCTTGTAGGCACTTCTTCCCAAGTTGAACCCTGAGATGACCACGGCCTTAACTGTTGCCTCGGCTGCAGCTTCGTGAGATACCCTGAGCCAGAGGCACCCAGCTAAGCTGTACTGGGAGTTACAACCACAGAAACTGTGAGGTAATAAATGTTTGTTGTTTTAGGCTGTTGTATTTTAGGGTAATGTGCTAGGCAGCAATATACAATAGAACACAAAATAAAACAGTAATGCTCTAAATGCTGAACAAGTTTAGAAGATGGATCTTGGTTTCAAGGTTTGAATCAGAAGCCAATGGAGAAATAAAATCAGAGAAAAAAATCTAATATTTCAATTTTTAAACGAAACCATTCTATTTTCAAATTCTGCTAACTAGAGAAACATTATGCAGTGTAGGCAGAAACGACACTAAGGTTCAAGCATTAGAGTTTATCTCTGTCAAATATATCAGGACAAATGATACAAGGAAAGGGCTAGAATAAATTTTAAGACTCTACCAGGCTTAGTTTTATAGACTCTTAAGATGAACACTTTTTCCACCTTTCATTAGATAATATGTCAACATATTTTTCATGCTTTGTTCTCTTAATTTAATAAAGCTAGCTATTATTAAATAAATAGTGCCCAGTTCAGGACATTTACAAAAAGGACCAATAAGAAAAGATTTTGAAAACTATGTAATTTCCACAAGGACTTTGCTATGCATTTAACAAAGAATTATCAGAGAGTAATGGATTGAAGTAAGCCCACATGACTAAGATGGTTTGTTTCAGATAAATCAACAAACCAGCATAAAAATATGAATATGTATAGAATACAATAGTCGAATAATATCATATCACATGTCAAAAGTTATTTGTAAATGAATAATTTAAATGTAGCTTTTTTCACATTAATCAACTGAACACATCACTTATGGAGTACACTGACCAGCACACCTTGTTTTATTATGCTCCGCAGATACTGTGGTTTTTACAGTTTGAAAGGTTTGTGGCAACCTTGTGTGATCAGATAATGATTAGCACTTTTCGGCCGTGAAGTTTTTTTTTTTTTAATTTTTATTGGAGTATAGTTGCTTTACAATGTTGTGTTAGTTTCTGCTGTACAGCGAAGTAAATCAGATATACATATACATATATCCACTCTTTTTAAAATTTCCTTCCCATTTAGGTCACCACCTACTCAAGAGCATTGAGTAGAGTTCCCTGTGCTATATAGTAGGTTCTAATTAGTTATCTATTTTATATATAGTAGTGTATATATGTCAGTCCTAAACTCCCAATTCATCCCACCCTACCCTTCCCCCGCTGGTAACCGCAAGTTTGTTTTCTACATCTATGACTCTATTTCTGCTTTGCAAACAAGTTCATCTGTACCATTTTTCTATATTCCACATATAAGTGATATTATACAATATATGTCTTTCTCTTTCTGACTTACTTCACTCTTTATGACAATCTCTAGGTCCATCCATGTCGCTGAAAATGGCATTATATTTCGTTCATTTTTAAGCCATGAAGTATTTTTAAATTAAGGCACATACATTCTTGTTTTAGATATAATGCTATTGTACAGGCTACAGTACAGTGTAAACATAACTTCTATATGCACTAGGAAACCAAAAGCTTGACTCGCTTTAAGGCCGTTGTCTGGAACCAAACTGCAGTATCTCCGAGGCGTGCCTGTACATAACTGATTTTTTGCCTCCAAAACTCAAAATAATGCTTATGCTTGATCAAAGAGCTAAAACAGAAATTTAACATATATTCATTGAAAAGTCACTATAAACTTTGCAAGGTTAACATCTAAGAAGGGAAACTATGATAATCAAATATTTTACTGAAAGTTTGCTTCAGAAACTTAACAAATATTTCTACTTAACGGTGAATTTTAGAATATATTGATATTTGAAAAATAAATGCTTTGCAATTTAAAAATAAAAAAGAAGTACCTAAAGAGTCACTTGAACTTATGATATTGTTTGGCAAATAACATTTTTAAAAATTTTTTATAAATTTATTTATTTATTTTATTTTTGGCCGCACTGGGTCTTCATTGCTGCACGTGGGCTTTCTCCAGTTGTGGCGAGTGGGGGCTACTCTTCGTAGTGGTGCATAGGCTTCTCATTGTGGTGGCTTCTCTTGTTGCAGAGCATGGTCTCTAGGTGCGCGGGCTTCAGTTGTTCTACAGTGCAAACTCAACAGTTGTGGTGCATGGGCTTAGTTGCTCCGCAGCATGTGGGATCTTCCCAGATCAGGGCTCGAACCCATGCCCCCTTCATTGGCAGGTGGATTCTTAACCAATGCACCACCAGGGAAGCCCTGGCAAATAACACTTTAAAGAAAACAAGGGAACGGACTGGCAATGCCAAATCTAAAATGAGCATGTTTTCAAAATACAGCATTCTAACACTGGTCATTCTTAGTAGAAAGTTAGTTGGTAACTTGAGTTCTCAAACTGATTCATCTCCTGCTTAAAGAGAGAGTGTGCATGTGTGCACCAGTAAAAAACACTCCAGGTAAATTACAGGAGATAATTCAGCTCATTTTACCAGCAAACGATTACAAAATCAAAGTGGTATCCTGAAAGTGCTAATTACTGTCAGCCAATTACAGACTGTTTTTCAATCTAGTTCTAGAACACATCATGTTGTTATACTGTGTACAACAGGAAACTCTTCAATAAATAACATTTAAACAAAAGGGTAAGACACACATGATGTGACAAATCACTGGCTAAATTGAGACTACGGAGAACAGAGGGCACCTGTTGCTCCATGGAGGGGGCACAGGTGTCTATTCTGTTGTTTCTCTCAGTTGTCGCCCAACTGGAGAACAAAAACAAAACAAAAGCAAGATATGAATGAATCTACATTTAGCAAACCCATGCAGAGTTCAAACATAAGGTTTTCACAAGTCACATAAAATAATACCTTCACTTTACTAAATAGGATATAAAACACATAACGTACTTTATCTCTCGCACCCCTTTTCTGCTGTTTTTAATGACAGCAGAAAAAAACAAATAAAGGAAAATTCAAATCAGCTAAGAACACAATGTTAGAAGTTCCAAATTTAGTGAAACATATCTGAAAATTAGGAAAACATAAAAAAATTATTTTATTTAGAGCATTCATACTTGCTAAAACCAAAACTTCATCAAAAAATCTCAGAGATGAGATTTAAATTTAGACTTTATTGCTCTTGTTTCTGGGTATATTTCCTCACTATACTTTAAGTTCATGAAGTGCAGGGATTGTGCAGCATCTAACCCTAGTGCCCTACCTAGAGAACTCAGACTAATTTTGTTACTGGCTATAACTGTCTTAGGAAGAGAGATGATTATTTCCTTTATTTTGTCCTGTAGTTTCCAAATGCTGTATAATGGGCTTGCCTTTTATAAAAGTTTATGAAGATTATATTAAGAAAAGGCAAGGAGGGGCTTAAAGGTTTGACTGTAAGAATCTTGCAGAATAGAATGCGTAATTTAGTGTTTCCAACTGCATTCTATAAATCTCTAGAGAATACTATGAATTTCATTTCCCTGTCACATTGACAAATGCCTAAATGTCTACCAGAAGACACACAGGTTTTAATACAAACCCATCATGTATTTTCCCACTCGGAAACTGCCTTTGACGGCATGGTTCTGGATACACTTGTATATGTGGATAAAACATGAGGTGAGGAGTGCTCTTGAGTCCTTCTATTCTGAGTCCTCAAGGAAATTCCTTCAAAATTCTCATCGCTAAGTTTTGCCCTTGCCACTGAAGATCCCTGTAAATGCTGGGAGTCAATTTCTACTCAACTCAGTGTTGCTGTCTAAACCTATTCCATCAGTGATATAAAACAGCTCCTGAGCACACAGGTAAGTCATGGTGGAATCTTCCAGTTGCTCTGTGTCCCATCACATACAGTTAAAAGCTGGCATGGAAGATCTGTATGGCTGTTACTCTCCAGGATGAATTTGTGACAGCATGACCTGAACTGCAGGTATTCTGTTTATGTCTAAAAACTATAAAGCTCCCATCAATATCTGGGAACATTTTTACCAACAACTGACTGCTAAGACTGGACCGCTTACAGCTTCTGACATCAAATCTAGCTCATTCAATAGTACGAAGAGCCAAATGTGCAGTGATTCCTTTGAGTCCTCTTACAGAGGGGGCATTTTCCAGCTGTTCTAAGTAAACCCAGAACACCACGTTTGCTGTCCTGAGTTCAGTCTGCTCTTCTCAAGAAAACTCAAAAACTCAAATATTTTTGCAATATCATGGAAAGACACAACAGTTTTCTGAGTATTACTTCTTCATTAATATATAAAACAGTGAGTTATGCCACTT